TATAGAGAGGCTTATCTCTTTCTTGCCTGAACACTTTATGCCATTCATTTGGTGCCAACAGGTATGACCTTGCAAATAGACCAGAAACCTTTTGTTTTTCTCAAGAGAGAGATAGCAACTTAAGTTTTGTTTTGTTTTACTTTTTTAGACAGAGTCTTGCTCTGTTGCCTGGGCTAGAGTGCAGTGGCGTCATTATAGTTCACTACAACCTCAAACTCCCAGGCTCAAGCGATCCCACTGCCTCAGCCTCCCAGAGTGCTGGGATTACAGGCGTGCGCCACCACACCTGGCCTAAAACAAAATTTTTAAAGTTTAAAAAAAAAATGAGAGAAAGCACACTGGAAACTTTCCCATGTGAAGCAAGAGAGAGAAAATACTGTTTCAAGCATTCATAACAGCAGAATCACAGTGGTTAAGATATGACTCCTGTTCTGACTCTATTCCTGGAGAGCAGAATCTGCCGCAAACGTGAGCCGAAGAAGGAATTGCCCAAAGACTGTAAGAGGCCCTCAGACTGAGTTGCGGAGCCAGACAATGCCCGGGAAAGGGGCCCAGGCCTTTTGAATTAAGGAATATGGACTTTAAATGGTTCTGGTTAACCTGTGGGTTATGGTTTAGGGTATTTATATCCACCATAGCCAGGTGTGGTGGCACGGGCCTGTAGTCCCAGCTACTCAGGAGGCTGAGGCAGGAGGATCACTTAAGCTCGATAGTTCGAGACCATCCTGGGCAATATAGCAAAACTCCCATCTCCAAAAAAAAAAAACCCAAACAAAAATAAATAAAATAATTAAATATAGTCACCATAAATATTTCGCATGATTTTAATTTATAATGTGCATGCACTCTTACCAAAAATAATTTTTTAAGGCCTGAAAAGGTTTTAAAAATAGTTTTGTGGGCCAGGCGCAGTGGCTCACACCTATAATCCTAGCACTTTGGGAGGATGAGGCAGGAGGATTGGTTGAGCCCAGGAGGCTGAGGTTGCTGTGAGTTATGATGATGCCATGACACTCTAGCCAGGGCCACAGAGTGAGATCTGTATCAAAAAAAAAAGTTTTGTGGAGCCAGGCATGGAGGCTCATACCTGTAGTGCTTGTAACTCAGGAGGCTGAGGCAAGAAGATTACTTGTGGCCAGGAGTTCAAGACCAGCCTGGACAACACAATGAGACCCCATCTCTAAAAAAAAATGTTTTTTAATTGGCTGGGTGGGCCAGGCATGGTGGCTCACGCCTGTAATCCTAGC